TTGTCATATCTGCAGAGCGCGAAACTGCCGTTAAAACTGCTCGCTGAGCACGAGGTTCCGTTCAGCTGCTCAAACCGCGCGCACGGGACGGCCATGTTGACGCTAAACAATGGGGTTTAACGTTAACACCATCCAAATCCTACCCGAGCGCAAATTGCCCCTGACCCTCCTGCGGCTTATCCCAGCTGGCCTCCCTTATCAAGCTCCTCCCACCGGGAGCAAGGTCACCATATAGGATTTTCCTCCTTTCAGCGTGGCAGCCACGGTGAACGGGTCTATCGTGCAGTTTGAGGAGCTTCTGAAAATGCAATTAACAGAGGTATACCATGAAAAAAACAGCCAAGACTTACGCTGCTCTAGCGAACTGAAAGTTGGCCGTCATACCAGAGCCGACGTGAAGGCGATACAGCTGCTTCGTCTTCTCCAACTCGTTATCGATCAAGGACTAAAAAAACCGCGATCTCCAAAAGATATGTAAAAGCTGTATGTACGCTTATTACTCCTTACATACCGAATTCGCCGGAACAACCTGGCTCGAAAAATCGGGCAGATTCACTTCAAAATCACAGGTGCCGCTGGGATACGCATTGACGACGGAGACGAATGCCTGCGACGAGCCGGGAATGTCGGGCAGGGTGCGCTGAAAATTCAACCACTGAAATTTTCGACGCCTTAAAGCGTACTGGCCAATTTTAAGGCATTTTATAACAGAAAAAGGCTCTCTTTGCAAAACCGGATATCCTCCATTCCCCACCCACGTTGACGGCAATCTGCACGAAACCGCAGATGACGAACGAGACGGCCGCCAAGAACACGCCAGCCACCATCTTCCGCAGTGGCGTACATCTGATGCCCATTCGCTCGACGCCCGGGTAGATTAGGCCCTAAACAGTGGAGGTTTATCGATGTGTTGTCGGTATTTCGAAAATAATTTTGTCGTATTTTGTGTAATTAATTTTTGCGAAAATCTTTTGTCAAAATATCGTTTTGTTGAAATATCAGTGGGCTGAAATTTCAAGTTGCTCAATGTTTCGGATCAATAATCGGCGGAAAAAGAGGGGCCATTCGAAAAAAAGAACAATTCGACAAAAATAGTTTGAAAAAGTTGTTTTGAAAAAGTGGAAAGGGATTTAGCCGCGTTAGTTACAGCAGCCCAATTACCTGAAAGATCGGGATAAAGATCATAATCAGAAGCGCGTTCAGCGTGCTCATTTGGTCGGGCAGCAGGGAGAAGCCGTCGCTGATCCGCGAGTCCATAGCCACCGCCTGAATGACCCAACGGGACCCCTGCTGATCATAGAGCGTCCAGAAGAACGGCAGGGGCAACATTATCACGGAGATCCGCACCAGCTGCTTCACGTCGTCGATGAAACGCACCTAAAACGGCTGGTTACCCTGTACGAGTTTTGAAGAATAAAACCGACTTCAAAAGCTTCAAAAAATCGCTAAAAGTCTGGAAAAAATGTTCTAGGGGGATCTTACAACACGAAAACCAGACCTGAACACATTTCCCCTTGGCCTCCCGGCAATGCGGATCCGTCTCGCAGTCGTGCGTATCAAAATAATGGTCCAACCAGTGGTCCCGCTTCTTCTTTCCCCTCAGCTTATTACCCAACGATCGCTGAAAAAATTCGAAATCCAAGGCCACCAACAACTCACCCGAATCGCCGCCAACACCCGAAAAATGGTGTTCTCTTTCGGGGGGACCTTCTTGTAGAGTGGGGAGCCGAGCATGAAGATCCCTAGGAATAAATAGCATCAACAACAAAAACAGTAAGAGCAGCGGTTTAAAAAGCTCCTGAAAACAAAGTCTATAATTTCGCCCAAAAAGCAAAAAGTAAGCCCGATGCGGGGCTCGAACCCGCGACAACCAGATTAAGAGTCTGGTGCTCTACCGACTGAGCTAACCGGGCCCGTGAGAGGGAGGGAAGGGAACGCCCCCATAACTGTCATGGTCCGCCAAGGTGCCGGATTTTGACAGGTGGGTGGGAGTTATCGCTGGCTTTTCGCCGGTTATCAAATCTGGCTTGATTTTCGGATATTATAATTTTCATTCTGGCTCGTTTTGTGTAACTTTCCGAAAAATTACAACCTATTAACAACATTAATTAACAACTTACCGACAGCCACAATCATCAAAATTGCCGGGATTCCGAAGGACAGCGGGTAACAGCTGTCATGGCCGAGGCAGGGCTGGGCTGAAAATTTGAGTACTGGACTGTCAGGGGTCAAACTAATTTTCCCGTTAATCCTGTATGACACTATAATAAAATACAAACCATTTTATAGCAATGAAACAGCCTTGAGCTGAAAAGCGCATCAAAAATAGAACCTTATGAAAAATTGCCAAAAAAAGTAAAAATTTTGAAACTCCAATTTTTTTTATAATTTGCTAGCAATCAAAAAACCACTAAATACACAAAATACACTATTCATTAATACAGGAAAATTAAAGTTCCCGTTGCTAAAAATCCCCCCACTATACATTCCAATACCAAAATTACGCCTACCAGTGTATACGTTTCGAAACCTTATTGAAAAATTTCAGCCAAAAAATACCCACATCGCATAATCGGCGAGATGAACGACGAGATCGTCGAGCCGGCATTGATCGTGAAGTAGAACACGGAAAAGTAGATTGAGATCATGAGCAGGTAGTGTTGCTAAAGGTTAGATTTCCTAGTTTCCCTTGAAACAGAGGATTAGCGGACCTTGAATTGATCACCACCAAACGCTGAGACGCAAGGCTTGATCCCGCCGGTGCCCATACCGATCACGAAAAGCCCGAGCAGATCGAGCCATCTGAAATGTGCGAGTTGGAAATATTTTCAATCATTTAAACTGCCTATTTTTCGGGGCTATATTCTATGATTTACAGTTACTAAGGTGCTTTCGCCATAACGGGGGGGGGGCTACTTTTCGCCTAGACGTCCAGAAATACCTAGTAAGGTCATTTGTAATAGTATTCTTAGTAGAAGTAAACTCTATTTGAAGTGGATAGACAATAAAAAACTTATAAAAAAATTTAGTTCAAACTTTGGTCAAAAATCAGGTCTTTTTGTTCGAAAAATTTCTATGATTTTGTATTTTTAGGCAAAATTTGTAATTTTTACGTTTAGAAAATCGTAAAAACGGTCCCGGCATTTCAATAATACCATTGAAACTCACGGGTGTAGTGAGGAGGTCGGCCCAAAAGTTGATGCCACGGCGAGTGCGATTTGGCCGCAAGCATAAAAGATTGAGATGAAGAAAATGGTCCTGAAAATAGAGAATATAAGACCTTTTGTGCAATTTATAATCTATATAACCTTAATAAGCTGTACCCACCAAAATTTGCCAATATATCCATCAGCTATAATCGAGCCAATCATCGGCGACCCGTAGCATAGCACGTTGAAGCTGTGGTAAAGTATCGTGGCCGTGTTGGCCGAATATTTGAGGATGTTGATCAGGTAGAGGGTTAGCACGGCTGAGAACGAAGCAGATAGCAAAGATTAATGGTAATTCGTTAGCAATTGATCCCTGGCAAATAAAATACAAAACGATGTCCCGAAATAGATCCAGAAACCCACATCTCATCCCATAATACGAAAAGCGCTCGCAAAATTCATTGACGATGATTAGGAAGGTGCTCTTCGGCCATGCCCGCAGCATTGGCATGCAGCTCTAAAGGCAATTTTTGTTGAGAATGAATCGAACTTTCACAAACCGTCGGCTCTGGGTCCTCGATGGCCATGGCGCCGCTGATTGTGCCATATCCACGCTTTCTACCCGCATCTAAAAAACTCGGATTTTAAGAATTTTATGGTCATGAGCTCAGGTTATTAAATCAAACCAAATAAGGGTGTGCATTGTTTTAAATTAAATACAGCTAGATTTGAGGCCTTACATTTCGAAAAATGTTTTAAAATCTGGGCGATTTTCGGTCGAGAAACGGATTTTTTAGGCTCAAAATAAAATTTCCAATTACATTTTTAAGCTTTTTGATGCTCAGTAGTAGCAAAGAATGATTCTAAGAAGAATATACGTGCTCTCTTTATATGTCTAAAAAATCGAGGATTCAAGAGCACAAATAAAATAAAATAAAATTTATTAAAATAGGTAGACGATTGGCCGAATAAAATTGGCACCAAACCCAAATCGATAGATCACCTGGCTCAACTTCCTCGGTGTCCATTCAGCCGCGAACCAGGGAGGGGCACCGTTTGCTTCTCGCCTCCGCCGCTGCCTCTGGAATATGAAATTCGCGGTCAGCGCGCGCCATACTCCACCCGCCCACCCACAAAATGCCCTGTTTGTGGTGGGGCAATTCCACCGAATTTACGGAGGAACGGCCCGGGTGATTGCCAAAGGACAAACAGAGATTGGGCACCATGCGACACGCGAATTCCCCCTCGAAAACAATCGTCAAAAGAGAGGTAAAGTGGCGGTGAGGTCGATAAGGGTCATGATTTTTAGTTCGTCGCCAAGGTTCTCTTTTGAAAATTTGTTTCGACTGAAAACTGCGTTCCAAAAACCCGAGCAAATTGACGATCTGCGAACAAAATGTAATAAGGCGCCGAATCCGGAGCCTCTTATCTCGAATTACACGTGTCGACCAGAGCTCAAGCCGGTCGGGATAGCGAGCCAGCTTGAGCCCGTTCCCGCGGTGGCTCCGAAATTCCGGAGAATTCCTAATTCCTCAAAGTCCTAAAATTCCAAAGCTATTTGGTGTGCCCTTGTAATTCGGTGTATGATAACATTCGCTGACGCCAACACCCACATTTATCTCGCTTTGCATATGAAAAAGCAATCGAGCAAATCCGTATACGCTTCAGCCCACTAGGCAAAATGAGAGCATTGGCTACCGGGGTAGTAGGGCACAGCGGAAGGGTCACGGGGAAAACATTTTAGGATATCGGTAACGGGGGCACAACGAACGGTAAAAGAAAATAATGGGCATAACTAACAACCTCTAAACAAATAACAAGGGATTGAGGCGGTCTTAGCCGTGATGATCAATAGTCTTCGCCGCGAGAGACGACCTCCTTGCAAGTGGGACGCATCAGAATTGTATGCTCCCACTGGGCGGTGTACGAGCCCTTGACGTCGCAGAGGGGCGGGTAGGCGTCGACGATTCCCTGTAAAGATCATGTAACTAAAAAGCTGCCAAGCTCTCACCTTATCGCACAACGCCTTCAAAGCAGTCCCGTACTGCACCTCCCCGACACGGTCGAGCCACCTAAGGTCGAAATTCGATAAATTATATAGCGAAAATTTACCGTCGGCAGAACTGGAGGTGCCCAAAATGGTTGTCGATCGTGTCGAGCAGCTCAATGGCTCTGGAAAAATAATTTAAAATGAGGGCTCTTTTGCATTGTCGGGTGAGAGAGGTTCGAACTTTTTTATCTCTAGAAACGTCTAGTATTAGAAATTATTGCTTAGTATTTTTCGTACTATTTTTTTCAGCTAGAGAAACTATTCAAAACATTAACAAAAAAAGTTTACAAAAGCCGAAATTTTCGTCAAAAATCGATACTTGTTTAATCCATATTGTTTAATAAATCTATTGATACTGTTTAATAAACAAATCTATCGATATTGTTTAATTAAAACTTGAAAAGTTTTCACTTTTATAATAGCAAAAAACCAGTTCAAAATACTTTCCGCATTTATATTTGCAAAATTGGGTTCCAAGGGAAAGTTGCTTAGCGAATGCGAAAGAATCAAAAATATAAAATCCAATTTACCGCAAGGGCATTTTCTGCTTAGCGCTGTCAAAGTTCTTCATGTAGTGCGAGCACTCCATCTTTCCTGCTCCAGCCCTGTTAACATAGCCCTTGCCGGTTGATCCGAACGTTTCAATGGCATACACCTAAACTCCAGAATACAGAGAAATACAGGCAAAACGACCTCATTCTCCTCCATCTTCGTTTGCTCCTCACCACCCTTGACAATAGGCACCGACTTTCCGGCGTGAATCCTAAAAGATAAAAAATTAAATAGTCAACGAAGCATTTAATAATCCCTTACTAAACTAGTCTGCATTCTACCTGTACTGTCCGATCGAGTGTCCGTTCAAATTGCGGATCGGCTTGACAGTGTACGTGCGACCGTCGAGCTCGACTTCATGCGAGGTCATGACCTAAAAATTATATATGCGGAAATTGGATCGCCTAACCTCTTCGATCACTTCTCCAATGTCACAGAGACGCACATCAATTCCAGCCTCACGAATACCGGCATTCGTGGCCTCTTTGACGGCGTTGGCCTAAAAGGGGTAAATCAGATAAAAACAAAGAAAAGTTACCAATGGATCAAACTTCGGGTCAAAATGGAGGGTAAAGGCCGAATCGATGAGACGGCCGCGTACATGGATACCGTAGTCGATCTAAATCAAAACGAAATTGGTAAGGAGGTGACAATTACCTTGCAAATGTCACCGTACTGCAACACAGTCTCGTCGCCCGCATTCGGGGTGTAATATGCAGCACATTCATTCAGCGAGCAGCCGGTGGGAAAAGCCAGTCCAGCTTCAAGTCCCATTTCGCCGATTAGCCGCCGCGAAGTGGCTTCGAGATGCGAGCTTAATCTCATTTTGATCCGGCAGCATATTGAAATCTCATACCAAATGTCGATCATTCTCATCCCGGGCTTCACCCATGACTTGACGTATTTGCGTACTTGACGATGAGCCTCGGCCGCACGGCGATAGTCCTCGGTGTAAAATTGACAAGCAAGCTAATCGAATTTACCTGCCACATCTCCTCTAAGCTGGCATCCATAGCCTTCTTTTCCTCATTGGAGATGCGATCGCTGGCCTTGCGCTCGTCTTTTCCCGGGATGTAATATTCGACTTCTTCGCCTAGGGGTGGTTATTATTTCCAAGAAAAACCGCCCTACCGAGTGGGTATTTGCCGGTGGTGATCTGCTCGTGGATCGGCTTCATAGGGGCAACTTTGGCTTCCCAATTCGCTTCAACCTCACAAGTGCAGTAATTAAAAATAACGCCATTGTCCTAAAAGGGTTTCACAATAGCGCTGATCCGTATACCGTAAGGGCCATCTCCAAAGACGTGTGTTCTTCCGGGAAATGGGCAACGAGGTGCAGCTGCCCGGGGCCATGTTTCTAAAAAAATCAAACTATATTCAGAGATAAAATCTTACCTTGGCGCAGCTCTGGGTGAAGCGGACTTTTTTTCCAACATCTCGAATCTGCCTCCAATCCATTTGTGCAAAAATTCGGGGTGCCTGGAAAAATGGGTTCTTTCGCATTATCGGGGGGAGTTTGTCGGAGGTTTATCTTCAAAATACCATTTTTTTCTTAGGAATAACTTTTTCAAACGTAAGTAGCGAAAGTGCTTTTACTATCCCTAAATGTAAAAACCTTACGAAATTTTGTTTAACAATACAAAAAATATAGATTTTTCGATAAAAAAGGGCCAAAATTTCGCGTTTTTGAAAAATTTTTCAAAGTTTTTAGATAGTTTTTGTAGTTCACGTATAGTGTTATTTTACTAATAGATTAGGAAAATAAGCCTATTAAGTTAATAGGCATTTTTAGATCAACACAAAAAATGCCTTTACCAGCCTGATAAACTCCCCCCCCCTGATAATGAATGAAATGAAATCCTGAAAAATGGGTCAAGACCGGACAGTTCCAATGACAACCTTCTTAGAAGCTATGTGCTCCCAATGTTCTTGAACGAAGCTGTCGAGTTGCTTTGCGGCTTCAGTCATCAGTGCGCCCGGGTTGTAGGTGACGCAGGTGGTGGTCATCGCTCGAAGATCCGCCATAAGTCGGTCTTTGCCGTAGTGGCTGAAAAAAACACATGAAATATGCTCGAATCTCGCGGATGTTTTTGAATCATAATTTTTTTTTTGGAAAATTCTAACCTTTTTTGGCTATTGTTTTGTTTGTTCATACATTTGGACCAAAATTCCCGATATTTTTACAATTTTTTGGGTCTAAAAAGTGTGTGAAACACTATAAAACTGATTTCTATCCAATTTATTAATTTAATTTAATAAATAGACAAAATTAATTAATTAATATTAAAATAATGCAAACATATCGATTTACAACTACAATTTCACATTTTAAACGTGCCGCCAAAAATATATTGAAATTTCTAAAGGAAAAGGAAAAAATTTTTGACCAAAAGTCAATAATGCTCGAACATTTTTATTATTTTTTTATCTAAAAACTATGTAAAAGGCTATAAAAATGGTTTATATTTTGTATAGGGAAAAACTAAAATTATAGAAACATAATATAGATTAAAGCAAAAATTTGGTTCGCACCCCCCCGCTAACAGTCCAGGAACGAAACTTGCAGGTCATACCCGAATTTCAGCTGGTTGCCGATCATGCCCAAATCCATGGGTGTCAGGTGGAACGGCGGATTGCTGAGGACAATCGTCGGCAAAGAAAAAAAATGCTCGTGGAAGACCTAAAGAAAAATTGACAAAGAGAAAAGATCGCCATACCGTTGTGGATACGAGACGCTTGTACAGCTGCAAACAGTAGGCTCTATAACAAAAATATAAACCATTTTATAACATTTTAAACCGTTTTCGTAAATTAAAAAACTTCCAAATTTTTGAAGTTTTCACCAGAAAGCCAAAACGCATTACGCGATTTAGATCATTGCCGTAGATATTCACGAGGCAATCTAGCAAAGATTCTTTGAAACCGAAGAAATGACTATAGACTCCGAAAAATGAGCAGGGCTGCAGAGCCCATTTAGGAATCGGGGGGGCGTAGGGAGGGCATCTAGCAGAGGATATTTGGAAGCCGCCAGGCAAGCTAGCAGAGGTTCTTTGAGGAAAACATCATGAAAAGCTCACTTTTCTTCTTCAGCAATGTTTGGAGGGATGAGTGTTTGACGGGAAGTCGATCCTGAAAGAATTATATATACAATAATTCCACAAATTTTCGTATTGTTCCGGATAATTTCTCATATTTCAAAATTGTTGACGTTAGCTCCTAAGGTAAAAAAAACGCTGCAAAACTGATAGTCAAACTCAAATTTCAAAAAAGTCTTAGATACAGTAATTCTGTAAATTTGTGTATTTTTCATATAATTCTTAATCTTAGAACTCTTCAACTAATTTTTAATTTGCAAAAATAGCCACAAAGCCTTCAAATTGACATGCTAGCTGTTACCAAATTCCTTCAAATTTCGACGAAAAGTCGCTAAATTTGAGCTAACCAACAATTATTATGTAGGAAAATGTGCCTAACGATTTACATGGCGTAATTGGATGGGCACAAACTTTTAACAACTGTTTGGAGAATTTTAATGAAATTTCTGGCTTAAAATCTTGAAAAAATCAAGAGTAGAAAAAAAATGAAAATATTACCAACAAGCCCAACGATTGTCTGAGACAAATAGCGGGTTCCTTGTCTTGAAGCAAGCGTTGGGTACTCGCGAGCGAGCAATGACTCTTCGTCGCGTAACACATCTTCGAGTGGCTTTTGAGCTTCGATGTCAGCCTGAAGGAACGAATTAATAAAACCGAGTGTTGTTCTCGTCCAAAATAAGGAGCTAAACAAACCTGGGATCGATTGACGACTCCAATGATGCCGAGCTTCACGTGAACCAACTGGCGAGTCAACACATCGAGCGCATTCGTCCCGTGATCCATCAAATCGAGCTTCGTGAGTACTACCAATGTTCTCTCCCCTAAACACAGTCATACTAGAGCATGGAAAAGCCGTCTACCTTCACTATCTACTTCACGCGCCATCTTCAACGCCTCCGAAGAGACGAAATCTTGATTTGCAGGTATCACAGCGAGGATGATCGAGTTCGAATTCGTAATGTAGGGGAGTATCAGCGCACGGATTCGCTCCTAAATACATAAATATATGAAATTTTTTGATTCTAACCTCAATATTCGTAGGTTGTCCCCCGACGGGAACTTTTGTCATACCCGGCAGATCCACGAGCCTCATGTTAACCACACGATGTGAGTAAATCCTCAGGGATATCGGTGTAGCTAATATTTCCTGAAAAACGACAATTAGCGGGAAATGAGAAACATACCGTATTGCTACCCGTAAGACGGTCGGTTTCCTCCTCTATCTCTTTTCGCACTAATTCGAAGTCTTCGAAGGTGCGATCTCCGGTGTGGTCGAAACGGGCCCAATCACCTAAAAGAGCATTAAAAACCCCGAAATTTTTCTTCACCCAGCTGTCCCTGCCGACTCGCCGCATCGTCGAGAGGGACATGGCAAAGCTGGAGATGAAGCGGCCGTCTTGTAACTATCCCTGTCCCGCGCGGAAGAAAATCTCGGCCAACGATTGCTGCTATCACAGAGCTTTTTCCGGAGCTCTAAATTAGAGCATTATAAAGTCAACGTAACTCGAAAGATACCTGTGCACCGACGACCACAATTTGTGGCCCGCCCTTCCCTGGCCAGTCGAGCACGGGGAACTCCTCGAATTCGACGTCATCCACGGCAGCCCTCGTCACCTTCTTGACATCGATTTCCGTCTCCATCTTATCGGCCATCGTGCTTGCAGTCTGGAATTGCGAAAAGAGTTGATACCAAAAACATCTAAGAATCGCCGAATGGCTAGAATTCTCTGTGAAACAAAGTTGTACCCCTTCTTCGATACTAAAAAATATCTGCGCGCGAAAATCTATGAACAAACAGAATCACCGACTCTACGATTTTACAACTATAAAAGGCTACAAACCCATTCATCTGAAAACCCTGCGCTGACTCCCGTTTTCGGTACTAATCAATTAAATCAAATAAGTAAAGACTCTAAGCCTAACCCTAAGCCTATGCCTAAGCCTAGAGAACAAATTAGGATGTGGGAGGGCTGTTTGGGCATCATATCGCGCAAGTATCACAGTGTGAAGACCGGTATCTTGCCGGGTGGCATCCGGGAAATCGCCGGTTTCTTGCCGGGTCGCAGCGGCCGGCCGCCATCCGGCAGGAACCCGGCTGCCAGGCGGCGAAAACCCCGCGGCCGGTTTTCTGCCGGCACATATCGAGTCTTCACGAATAGCTTTTGCCGGTTTTTGTGCCTGCGTCCTGCCGCTTATTCGCCGATCAAATCCGGCAGGATCCCGGCAGACCCGGCAGCAAGTTGGCAAGATCCCGGCCGCCAGCTTTTCGCCAGGTCGAACAGCCGGCAGCCGGGATTCTGCCAGATGCCCCGGCATTTTTCCTTTTCCCCATTTTTCCCGGCTGCCATCCGGTAGAATCCATTTCACTGTGTATGAAACAGAGCATTTTACAAGCATTTTTGCCGTTGGCGGAATTTCGGAAAAAACGTGAACGGCGAGAACGTCATGGACCCGGAAAATCAGTACGCAGTACACCTCTACACGTCCAACTGTCCACGAACGGCGTAATTTGTTTTTTTTTCGGAAAATCCCTCGCTATTATGACCAAAAATCACGTGCGGGTTTTTAGCCCTCAAACCCACTGATTCGCGGGGGCGCGCAGTAGAAGTGACAACTGTTTTTAAAATGCCGTAATCAGTTTTACCTAAGTAATTGTAATTAATTGTAATAATAAAACTTATAAGATTCTTCTATACTTTGTAATGCACCGCCGACATCTCATCGCTGATTATAAAACCGACGGATAAGTCAACCGGAAAAAGCAAACCGTTGATTCGGAGATCAATGCAAGGGGCTAGCAAAGTAAAGCAACGCAATCAGTTGGGAATTTTGTGCCTGCGGACGTATGGTTGAATTAGCGTCGAAGACGAACTTTTTTTTATTTTAATGGCAGTGAGCAAGGCTGTCAACAATATCCTGCCGTGGGCATCAGAGTACCGAGGCTACATACCAGCAGTCGCAGAAATCATCATCAATCAGCGATAAAAATTTTCTGTGGTTTGTCTGTCTGAAGTCGGATTCAACTCAGGGGAAAGGAGTTAGTTAGAGCCTAGCGACTCTGGGTCAATTCGACCCTGCCAGGTCCGGAAAATTATCAAAAATCATAACAAAAAATGACAATGAAAGCGTGAAAATTTGTATTTTTTTTTTGGGGGGGGGCTTTTACTAGGTTTGGGGACATTTGGAGGGGTTCGACTTCGGTTTCGGGAGGACTGATTCATTAAAGTTGTAGTTTCTTTGGTTCCCAAGGGCGTGTCATCCACGATTCGTGGTCAAAAAACAGGAGCTTGAAGGTATCCTATCCTACTTCCTACTTAAATATAAATTTCTAATGTCCGTCCGTCCGCCCGACCGGGAATTCAGCCAAATTTTGCATTCAAATTCAAAATTCAAATTGGGGGGGAAGGAGGGCCAGCGCTGAACCCGCGCGTAGCGGTGGGTCCGCGCTGGCCCTACTTAGAAGGAGTCGTTTTTAGGTGCTTTTGGGGTTTCAGGACGGGACCTAGCTAGTTCGGTTGAGAAAAAAAATTCTAGACAACATCCCGTTTTCAAAAAGTGCTGATCGATAAAGGTGTTTTAGGAAATTTAATTTAATTAAAAACGTTCCCGGTATCCGGACTAGTGTTGGACAGCACCCCAAAGAGAGCACCCCGGGGTGCTTTTATTTTCACCCCGGGGTGCTCTAAAAAAGCACCCCGGGGTGCTTTCCAAACCACTCCGGGGTGCCCCCAAAAAGCACCCCGGGGTGGGAAAGAAAGCACTCCGGCCGAGAGAGGGGTGCTCTGGAATCATCAATCAATCAGGAGATGAACATCATTTTCGAGCAGTTGGCACAACTCGGCGCCAATTCGATTGCAACTCATTTGGGGGTCGTTTGGTAGCATTTCTTCGAGGTTGTTGAACACGGCGGACGCTTTCGAGGCGTTTTTTTCTAACCGCGCTAGCATCCTGGCAAAGCTGCTCCAGAGCTAAAACTCGCTGGGCAGATAGAACTTTTCGCGCTCTTTCGAGTGGTGCCTTTCGGGATCCAGGATTCGCAGTGCAAATCGAGATCTGATGGTTTTAGCGCGGCGACAACTTCGACAAGTACACCTTTCGGCACTAAAACGCTCCCCTCTCTGTCACCCGACGATTTTGGAGAACGGCAGTTATACCGTTGGAAAGAGCGTTCAAAATGCTACCTTCTCAACGGCTTAACGCAATTCTATCAAGCTTCCTTACGCTGCTAGCGCGGCTAGAAAAAAATCGTCCGCCGTGTTCAACAACCTCGAAGGAATGCTACCAAACGACCCCCGAATGAGTTGCGAGCCGTTTGGCGCCGAGTTGTGCCAACTGCTCGAAAATGATGTTCATTTTACCTTGCATAGTAAAACCGGGTTGACCCGGTTTTCGGGCCGAGGCGGCCGGCCCGGTTTCACACCCGAATTTCCGGCCAAAACCGGACCTGGCAAATTGCCCAACACTACACATGGGCACTTCACGCGTCCTGGATCCCGTCCAGGCATGGCCAAGTGGCTAGTGCGTTGGCCTACGAATTTTTTTGGCCTCTTGCCACGAGTTCGATTCTAATTTATCGTTAACTCTTTGCTTTTTTGCTAATTAAAATTTTATGCACCGATCACGGGTTCAACAACCAAAAAGCAAACGGTTAGCCAGCGCGAAGATTCGAACCCGAGGCAAAAAAAATGTTAAAAAGTTGGTAGGCAACCGCGCTACCAATACGTCAATGCAACCTGTGATGGAGGCCTTGGCGGGATTTTATGAATGGCGCCTTGCTCAGCCCCCTTAACGACGTGAACCGAGGAAATGGACCCGAAAACTAGAAAAAAAGCGCGAACTTTAAATTAAATTTTCTAAAATTCCTTTATCGATTAGCACTTTTTGAAAATTGTATGGTGTTCAGAATTTTTTTCTCTATCGAACTAGCTAGGTCCCGTCCCGAAACTCCAAAAGCACCTCAAAGCGACTCCTTGTAAGCTAAGCGCAGGCCTAAGCCTAGACCTACGCCTAGGCCTAAGCCTAACCCGAAGCCCAAGGATAAGCCTAATGCCACCCCGTTACTTAAAGGGTTAAAGGGTTACTCACCTCAAATCACCACAAGGGTGCCGATACCGGGAACATTTTTAATTAAATTCAATTTTCTAAAACACCTTTATCGATCAGCTCTTTTTGAAAATGGCATGTTGCTCAGAATCTTTTTCTCTATCGAACTTGCTAGGTCCCGTCCAGAAATTCCAAAAGCACCTAAAAGCGACTCCTTGTTAGAAGGCCATCCGCGAGTCCTTCGAACAGCCGGAATTATAGCTTGGGACAATTTTTCGACGCCTATTCTTTGATCCCATCTTTCGAATTAACGGTGAGTCCGCCGCCACATGAAACCAGGCTAGAAAAGGCGCAAAATGTTTCTGTATCGATTGATTTACGTGTCGGCCACCGCCGTTTTCTAAAAAAAGACTTTTTGTAGTTGAAAATTTTACAAAAATCTGACGAAAATGGAAAGGTTATTTTTTAAGTTTTGGCACACGAGATAGCATTTACAGATCGAGCCGAGCTAACTCGAGAAATTAGCAAAAAAATTCGGCCTTTGAGAGGGTGATTGTTTCCGGCAGGAACTAACCGAGACCTTCCGCCTGGGAGCCCGGTGCCGCCACGGCTAACAAAGGAACCACCTACGGTCAAGGTGGCGTTTCGTTATGGGACCCAACTTATTTTGTGCAGAATTTTTTGCTGATTCCGAATGCGCTTTCATTTTTTGCTATAGCCCAATTTAAATAGTTACCAGCGCTGACCTCCGCTACGCGGGGGTTCAGCGCTGGCCTTCTCCCCCCCCCAAAAAAAAATTTGAATTTGGAATTTGAATGTAAAATTTGGCTGAATTCCGGTCGGTCGGTCGGCGGGCGGACGGACATTAGAAATTTATATAAAAAGTTATAGCGTTTCAAAGTCCCATTTTCCCAAGTTTTCGAACTTCAAAGTCATTTATCTTACCTTTCCCGTCTGGTTGCTCAAAAACGAATATCGTCATCGTATTCAAAATAAAATTTCTCTATCAAATGAGCTATTTAACTCAAAATTGTTGAAAATTGACTCGGTTTTGTTGTATGGGAAATGGTGAAAAACAGCCTATTTCACGCCCCGTAAGTGTTCGTCGATAGGTAGTAGCGCACTAATGAAATATAACAATCTAATCAGAAAAAAATTCTCTACAAGATAGGCCATTAAAAATCGACTGCCCTATTAAAATAAAAAAAGTTGGGTATCGTGACAGATGACTTCCCGCGGACTCTCTTTTTAAATGGGCTATTTGGCAAAATTGAAATCAGTTTCGGAAGCAGCGGAAAATTCCACACAAAGTAGGCTGGGTCCCATAACGAAACGCCACCTTGACCTTGTACGCTCTGGTACGCTTGTAAGGGCCGTGCCTAATCCAATACTGGCGCTGGTGCATTTGCAGCCCCGGCACAGAGACCGAATATCTTTTTGCTCTTTTTTGTAATCGACTTGACTTGTTTTCCTGATATGTTGTGACTGCTCCACTTTTTCACACCCAAATTTCAAGAATCGGTCAGATTTTTAGTAAACTTTCCTGTACAAAAGCTTTTTTTGAAAAAAACGGCGACCTGGCCGCAACCTAAATGATACATCAATCGATG